AAAGGCCTTGGAGGTAAGTAATTTTATTTAAATGAAAAAAATGCAATTTGAAATATGTATTCCGTTCCCAGGATATCTATGATGAGAATCCCAAAGTCCGCGAAAAGATTTCACAAATTGTCCACTTCCTTTACGACAAAGATTTCGTAAGTGAAGAAGCCATTTTGGCCTGGCACGAGGAACTGGATGTGGAGCAACACGAAAGTCTGCGTAAATCTCTACAAAAACTCATTGAATGGCTGCAGCAATCCAGTGAAGAAGAGGATGACGACGATGATGAAGAAGAAAGTGACTGAAATAGTGTAGATATTTAAATATAATGCCTGTATGTTTTTATTAACACAACAACAAAGAAAAAAGAAACATTTGTTTGTTAAAAAGTCACCATATATTTATTTATTTATACAAGAGTACGTAATGAGAACTGAACAATTAAGGTATAAAATAAGAATATCCACAATCAAACAAAATGTGTGTGTGTGTGTGTTTGGAAAAATGTGAAACAAAAATAAAGAACATCCTTTCGGTAATACGCCACCAATTTCTATTCAACGCTCTACGTTTCCTACGCCTCCTCCACCACCACTAACACTCATCATGTTGGCACTCGTATTCATCATGCTCTGGCCAATGCCCAAGCGAATATGATGTAAATGTATTTGCACATGTTTCTGGAACGTTTCCACATTGACGCCACACAAACTTGAACGCACTTCCTCAATACAGCCCTCAAGTACCTTATTGACTTGGGCCGAGTTTTCGCTGCTCAAATGGGAGGCAACCAGGAGCACAGTTGCCAATTTCTTGATGAGACTTAGAATGTTTTTATTCTTTAGAATACCTTGGCTATTGCGCTGCACAGCCTCCTCGGCTGCCTCTCGACATTTTTCACGCAAATACGACGGTGTCAACATGGCCTGGACTGTGGGATCCCTTGTTATGTCCGAGGCAAAGGATTGCACTTCATTGAGATAGTCCTGGATGTCACGATTCATTTTCTCCATTGAAATTATGATGGATGCATAACGCCTTTGGAATTCTTCACTTAGCTGAGGTCCATTCGCATCGGCGGCATTTACATTTTGGCTTTCATCCGATGATGAGGATCCCGAATTATTGTGGGCAGCTACCAGTTGCTGTGACACTTTTAATTCCGCTTCATTATTCATATCATTGAGACGCACCAACTTGGATTGTTTGATTTTCAAGGCCCGTTTTAGGCGCACCAAGGTCTCGAGTAATTTGGGCGGATAGCCGTTAATATTCTCCTCTCGTATGATGGGATTCTTAAAGGGACTGTCAATGACCTCACCCAACAGAGGATCACTTTTATTCAAATTCATGTTGTAGGAGGAACGTACCTGGCGTAAGCCCCCACCACCCGCACGCATTGGTGACATTGTGTTTCGGGTGGCTCCATTGTAGACACTCATCAGACTGGGTCGGAAATCTTTGGTGATACACTGCAAGGGTAACATTTCATTAAAGTTCTCCGAAACAATTTCATAGTCTGGTATGGAGTGGGTACCCAAGCCGGGACGATCAAATGTGACACGATACGATGATGTCATGGATTCGAAAGCATCCACAGTACCGCTGAATATACCATCTTGTGGTACCCGTAATCTTGCCGTGACCTTGGTGCCCACCGGCAATGTTAGCGGTATTTTATCGGGCAAATCTCTAAGGAAATTCATATCCTTGACCTCACCCGATCGGCGACTTTGCATGAAACGCATTTTTTGCCGTTTCTTTTCCAATTCTCGCCGCTCCTCATCGAAAAAGGCCTGCGAACAACGACGTGGTTTGCCCATCAATGAACGCACCTTTTGCCATTCGGCCCGAGTCAATTGCCGGGTACGCAGATTGGGAAATGATTCGGCGAGACAAACCTGAAAATCATTTTCACCCTCAAACAAGGGTTTATCTATGAACGAGTAGAACCATTCATAAATCACCCATTTATGGGCTTTGGGTAATTTCAAAAGATTGCGTAGACGCAAACCAATCCTTTGGCCAATTTTCTTATCTGCTGGTATAATAGAACCCAGGGAACTACCACTTAGTGTGCTGGGATTATTGCGACCAGATCCCGATTTGGGGGTGGTGTTAAGCGAATTGCCACCCCGGCCACCCGATGATGTGGACGGTGAATGGTGACGTTTTTCATCGGATCGCATATAGCGCGAGGCAACACCTTTACGTTTTTTCAAAATTTTTGTCGGTGTCTTGTGCGGTGAATTCATTTTTAGAGAATTCTTACGCGGTGACAGGCTCATTCGCAATGGTTTGTCATCGTTGATAATGTCATCGTCGAAAAAGAGTCGATTGCGTTTACGTATTCTTGCCGGCATACCACGTGCATTGAGCATTTGTATGGGTTGCTGGGGTTGCGGTTTAGGTGGTGGCGCCGTGCCCACACGCTGTAGACCTAATGTGGCTAAGCTAAACGATGGAGGTGGCTCTTCTGGTTCTTCATCGGACATTGGTGGTGATTGCTGCTGTTGTTGTTGTTGCTGTTCTGTGTCCTTTTTCTCTGTTTTATGGGATGTTGTCGACGACGAATCCTCGCCCATATTACTGTCCTCCTCCTCGTGCATGGTGTGGTCGTTTTTCTTTTGTTGTTGTTGGGGTGAGCTGTAAGGAAAGATGAAATCAATTATTATATAAACTTGTATTCAAATATGGCTGTGGACTCTTGATCGTTTTTTGCATGAATGGGATTTTGAGCTACACCTGAGCTGACCCTGAAATTGGCCTTCGTTGGAACAGACAACACATTTTTTGGTGATTTATTTTTGAAATCATCTGAAAAGCCGAAACAGGAAATTGCCTAGCAATCATTTTTTATACCCTCCACCATAGTATGGAGGGTATATTAAGTTTGTCATGCCGTTTGTAACACCTCGAAATATACATTTTAGACTCCACAAAGTATATATATTCTTGATCAGCATAAAATTGACTACTTCCTATACTTTATTTGAGATATGTGCAAATTTTTGGAAAATATGAAAATGTGTGTGTTATGACAGATATAAGAATTGAAAATTGTGACCGTTTGTGGGTGAGGTACCCGAAGGGGCTGGCAGATATATATCAACTTCACAACAGATCTTGCGTTAGCAAAAATATTTGGATGTGTGAAATTTGAAGAGAGTTGAATGCTTACCTCGCTTTCTTTGAGCGTTTTGTTTATTCAAATATCTTGAACCCTATGTTAGGGAGATATGAGAAGAAATGGTCCGATGCGTACCATCTTTATAACATATCTTGTATTGATGGAAATATTGAGATGTACCAAGCCCGAATGGAATCGGATGTTAATTTCGAGTTTTATGAACTTCATGGATATTCAAATTGTTGACCCTTTGTGGGAAAGGTACCAGAAGAAATGCTCCGATATATCCCAATTTCACATCAGATCTTGGCTTAATTAAAAAATTGTGATGTGTGTAATTTGAGGAGATCCGGATCCTTTTTTGGGATTTTATCATCCTTTTGGTTATTCAAAACTTTGACCCTTTGTGGGGATGTACCAGAAGGAATGGTCTGATCTCTACCATCTTTATAACAGAACTTCTTTTAAATGAAATATTGAGATGTGCCAAGTATGAATGGAATATCATGTTAATTTCTTGTTTTATAAGCTTCATGAATATTCAAAATTTTGACCCATTGTGGGGGAGGTACCAGAAGGAGTGAACAGATATATTCCATCTTCACACCAGACCTTGGATTAATAAAAATATTGTGATGTGTGTAATTTGAAGAGAACCGGATGCTTATTTCGGATTTTAAGATATTTTTGGTTATTCAGAACTTTGACCCTTTGTGGGGGAGGTACCAGAAGGAATGGTCGGATCTCTACCATCTTTATAACGAATCTTGTGTTTATAGAAATATTGGGATGTGCCAAGTCTGAATGGAATCGAATGTTAATTTCGTGTTTTATGAGCTTCATGAATATTCAAAATGTTGACCCTTTGTAGGGGAGGTACCAGAAGCAGTGGTCCGATATATTCCATCTTCACACCAGACCTTGGATTAATAAAGCTATTGTGATATTTGTAATTTGAAGACAATCGGACTCTTACTTACATACTTCTTCAAAATGTTGACCCTTTGTGGGGGAGGTACTTGATGGAGTTGACCGATATTGTCCAATTTCGTACTTCACCTAGTACTGATGCAATTATTAGGATTCGCAAAGCTGGAGCAACATCGGATTATCATTTCTCTTTCTGTGTAGTAAATTATTTTCTCTAAAAATGGTGACTTTTTGTGGGGGAGGTATCAGAAGGAGTGGACCGATATTGCCTATCTCCGAACTCGATCTATGTTTGACAATAATATTATGATGTACCAAGTTTGGATCAAATCGGATACTCCCTTTGAGAGTTATCATGGCAGCAGGCAGCCAGACAGACGGACGGACATCGCTAGATCGACTCCAAATGTCCTGAAATGGATTTGGTCCAAAGAGACCTAGAGTCTTAAAACGTTTTTTCGATGAAGCTCTTTTTGGCCGTATCAAATGATAGCCACATGGCTGAGGGTATAAAAAATGTCTCGGCATTGAGCTCACACTCAGCGATACATTACCCTTATATTCCCAAACTGAATAATCTAATATTTATATAGAAGAATTTTCCATCCCCAAAGATCTTCGATCCAGTAACTATTTCCCTATAAAACATTCAAAACGATCTCTTTTTGTATGGTTCATTCTAAAATAAATTAATACATTTATTATTGTCCAGAAATTCAATAATTTCTCTTCCAAAACTTCGATTCAGAACCACCTATCTCCATCTTCATCATCATCATACATTACTCTGTGGTTGGGAGAGGGGATCGCAGTCGGTGTAATTGATTGTGGTTGTTGTTCTTGTTATATGTGAAAGAAACATTTACACAAAATTTTATAATGTTATACTTTTTGTTATATTTTCTATATATTTTTAGTTTAGTTGATTGAATTGGAGAGGTCGATAAGGTTTTTGGGAAAGAGAGGAGGAAAAAAAGCGGGAATATTAAACATAAGCCGCATTTACATTATGTGTATATATATACTTTTTAATTGCAACAATTGTTTGTCCTTTTTTTTTTTTTTGTTTTCCAAAGATTTTTTTTTTAATTTGGTTAGTGAAGTGTTTTAGTAATTTATAGTTTTGTTTTTTGTTTTAGTTAATTTCTTATGTCATTTACTTTTGTTACATATAATAAGTTTTAGATAATTTTCGTTTACAATTGTTAGGTATTTTGTGTGCATATTTATGTGAACTAAAAATGGGGAGTAGCAAATAAATTAAAAATAAGATTTTTAAAAATATAAATTGCACAGCCTTTAACAGTTGCTGATATATAACCAGGGGACAATATGTCTTATTAAGCCTTCCAATTTAGAATTTGTGCGGGGAAACATAGTTCCAACCTTAGGAAAGTCTCTGTGAAGGTCTCTTCTCTAGAGTTTCTGTATGACGATTCGAAATTGAACTCGAAAACACCAATTTTATGAATATTCTTAAAATTAAATAAATATCAAAATTTTATAAAGGTGTGTGGACTTATTAAAGTTGTTTCCTAGACTCCTCCAAAGTCCGAAGGCGTGCATTTGTTAATTTTTTTCGGGGTCTGAAATCGTGGACTTTTTAAATATTTTTTCTAGACTCTCTCGGGGTCTGAAATCGTGGAATTTTTAAATATTTTTTAGACCCATCCAAGGACCGAAGGCCTGAATTTTTAAAGATTTTTTCTGCTAGGCCCGAAAGCGCGGACTTTTTCAAGATTTTTTGTAGACTCCTTTAAGGGTCGAAGGCGTAAATTTGTTTAACTTGTTTCTAGATTCCCTTAGGGCTTGAAGGCGTGGACTTTTTAAAGATTTTTTAGACTCATTTAAGGTTCGAAGGCGTGAATTTGTTAAAATTGTTTCTAGACTCCCTCAGAGTGTGTGTGCGTGGACTTTTTAAGAATTTATCTAGATTCCTCCAAAGTCCGAAGGCATGAACATTTTAAAGAATTTTTCTAGACTCCTCCAAGGTCCAAAGACATGAACATTTTAAAGATTTTTTCTAGACGTGTCAAGGATCTGATGGCGTGGACTTTTTAAATATTTTTTTCTAGGCAACTCCAAGGATTCCAAGTCACGATTTTTATGGATTTTTAAAGGTTTTTTCTAAACTTCCTCAATGCATGAAGACATGGTCTTTTTAATAGAAATTTAAAGAAATTTCTCTAGGTTTTCCAAAGTCCGAAGGCATGGGTTTTTTAACGATTTTTTTCTAGACCTCCTCCAGTCCTGTAGTCGTGGACTTTTCAAAGATTTTCCTAGACCCCCTCAAGTCCTGAAGGCGTGGACTTTTCAATGATTTTTTCTAGACTTCCTCAAGGCATGAAGTCGTGAACTTTTCAAAAAAAAATTTAGACCCCCTCAAGGCATGAAAGCATAGACTTTTTAAAGATTTTTTGTAGACTTCTTCAAGACCCGGTGGCGTGGACTTTTTAAAGATTTTTTCTACACTCCCCTAAGGCCCGATGGCGTGGACTTTTTAAAGATTTTTCTACATTCCCCTGGGGCCCGATGGCGTGGACTTTTTAAAGATTTTTCCACACTCCACTAAGGCCCGATGGCGTGGACTTTTCAAAAAATTTTCCACACTCCCATAAGGCCCGATAGCATGGACTGTTCAAAGATTTTTACTAGACTCCCTCAAAGCCTGAAGGCGTCGATTCGATAAAAAACAAATAGTTTTGTAAAACTATTTTTCTAAACTCCTTCGAGGCCCGAAAGCTGATTTTATATTTCAGGCGCGAACTCTTTAAAGATTTTTTCTAGAATCTCACAAGGCCAAAGGCTTGAATTTTTAGACTTCCTCAAGGTCCTACGGCGACGAGGCCCAACACTTTTTTTAAACTCCCTCAAGACCCGAAAGAATGATTTGAAATATTTGGCGTGAACTCATAAAAGATTTTTTCTGTAATCCCTTAAGGCCTTAAATCGTAAATTTGTTCAAAATTTGTTTTTTCTAGACTCTCTCAAGCCACAAGGCTTGTCCTTTTTAGACTTCATCAAGGTCTGAAAGCATGATTTTAAATATTTGGCGTGAACTCATACAGGATTTATTCTGGATTCCCTTAAGGCCTTAAGTTGTAGGTTTGCGCAACATTTTTTTCTAGACTCTCTCAAGGCCAAAGGCTTGGATTAAGTGTACTAAGATTAAGTCTACTTTGTTGATCTCAGACAATTATTTCGAAGTTTTGAAATTAAATGTACCCTCCATCTTAAAACATGGCAGCCAAAAAGATTTTCGTAAATTCACAACATCTCAATTTTGTGATGAGAAATTAATAAATATGACTTAAATATCCAAAAAAAAAAATATTTTTTTTAATTTAATGACTGTGTCAATTTATTATTTTATTTTAAGGAAAGGAATATAACTAAATAATACAATAAATGTATGTTTATGTGTAATGAAAATACTATATAGTTTTTTTCTGGTTTTTGTAGAATTCAAAAAAATAAGGTAAAGAGGGGAGAAAATGGTATCGGCAGGCATTGCACATGTATTTTAAAAAGGACTGTAGGAAAATTAAAAAAGGAACAACTTGTTAAAAAAAATAATTTATTTAAGATATATTAACAATTTACTTCTACTACTACTAGTACACACACATAAAGATACAAAAAGATTTAAAAGTTTTTTGATGTCTATTAAGGGATTTGTTTTCAGTTTTAATTTAATATTTATAATTTGCTGTTTATCTACAGGCCTGCCAATACCTTTGGAGGGGAGAAAGTGGGGGTGTTTGAAGCAATTTTAGTTTGTTGCAACAGGGGTGGGGGAGGGGAAATTAAAACCAAGGAAAACATTTTGTGTAATTTTTCTATTTATATAGAATATTTCTTTGCTCTGTTATTATTTCATAAATATATATAAGTAATTGTTTTTTATTTTATTATTTTCATATACATAAAACACAATACATATTTATATATTATTGTTGTTGTTTTCTGGTTTTTGCAATAGTTACACTTACTACTATACAATGCAAATAAAATTGAATTTTCTGTTCTTCTGTTTTTGTGATTTAATCGAAAAGAAAAACCGAACAACAACAGCAGCAGCTGAATAAAAGTAGTTATAATTGTTGCTAATCTTCTAAAATTGTTGTTGCTGTATTCTTTTGTGTAGTTTGTTTTCTTTTATTTGTTTAAGTGTAGGAATAATAATTATAATTAATTTTAATAATAATAATAATAAAAACAATTTATAACAGTTTAACAAATATCATTATCGTTTCGTATAACAGTTAATTGTGTATATATAGTTTTCTTTATTAAATATGTGTTTTCTTTTAATTTTCTAACATATTTTCTTAGATATTTTTTTTGTGTTCGTTATATGTTTGCCTTTTTTCATAGTTTATTTTAATTTTTTTTTAATTAATGTTTTGCTATTTTTTTCGTTTTTCTTAATTGTGTCTTATTTGGGGATTTTGGGATTCCTTTAGCTACGACTATGACAATGACGATGGCAATGACAACAATGGCTACCAAAATATTCTAGGAAATATCAAACCAAAGAGGAACGAACTTGAAGCCTATACCCCATACTAACTGGGTAAAATTAGGTATGACCTCCAAGCCGATATTTGACTTTAGATAGTATATTTAAAAGGACCTAGTAATACTATTCCAATTAAGCACACACTAACTTCTTAAAATTAACTCATAGTCTTCCAAATGTTCCGGTCCTTTACTCCCTTCCCTTCGCTTCCATCATTGTCTTTTAACTAACATTGAATTGCCATGCATTCTATATATTATATATATGTATGTATATAATACCTTCATGTATTTATGATTGCTGTATGCTTTCAAAACAAAGTTCGCCGACATCTAATAAGTAATTGATTGGATTGGATTGAATTTCTTGATTTGTTCTTTGGATTCAAAATGAATCAAAAATAAATTTCTTGGAGGATTTTTGTTTTCTTTTTTTTTATGTTAACAATATAAGGATTTGGTGTTTGGTTTACTCAATGGCATTTTTTCGTTTTTTTATTTTTAATTTTTATTATTTTCTTGTGTTTTCTAATTAAAGAAAGGAATTTATTTTTGTTTAAAAATTGGGTGTGGAGGTCATCATTGCGCCCCCAACCCAGAGGTCGTTTAAAAATATTTGCAAACAAGTTATTTTCTTTGTTTTTATTTAAAATTAGTTTAACATCGAAACGTGAATAGGGTTCTCTTTTTTTTGCTTGTTTAATTAGACACATCATGCTGCTCTGCGGCTACATTATATAGTTTAAATTCAACATCTCCACAATGGCCCCCACCAACGGGCGTGGGGGTTGTGTGGTAAGATGTCCATATAATACCGTTGGGTAAATGTCTTTCGGCACCAAAACGAACGTCCCACGATTCATTCCATCACAACACTCCGCCGTCCGTCCGTTCGTTCGTTCGTTTCGTTGTCGCTTAGACATTAAAACGCGTTTCCGAACCATCGGCCAACATCAGCGTCACCGTACGATTATTGATCCACACCAGCTTGGCCAAACGCATGGGGTTGAGACGCGACACATCCGGTATTGGTGCCGTGGAATAGCCTTTGGTGCAACGGGTCTGTGATTGGCCCAAGCCAAACATACCCGTACTAGTTTGCCAGAAGGATAAACGATTTTCATTGCATGAATATGAGACCAAGTACTTGCCGTCGGGTGAAAATGCCAACGAGGTGATCGGATGTGTATGGGCTGGTATCATTTGACACTTGTTCTGTCGCAGTTCGTAAATGGCCAAATGGCCATTGATGGCACCCACAGCAATTCGTCGTGTCTGGGTGCAATGTGATACCTGATTGAAACGGCATATGGCCGGGCAGACGTCGGGCAAACCGCGTGTCTTCAGCTCGGAGTTATCCAAACAGTGTAGGGTAATGTCCATTACCTCGACCAGAAGGCTGGCAATTTCGGCTTGCATTTTGTCTATCAGCATTTCGACGCACTGCAGTATTTCTCCTTTGGCCTTGAACAACACCGACTGCGTCAATGGCACATTTATTGATTGCGGATTCTGTTGCATACTATTGTAACGGGCCACCTCTCTGGCCATTGTTGTTATAAAGGCTGCAGGTCGCGCTGTGGCAATCAACCTCAGAGCATGTCTTGCTGTTCGGCAGGCATCAGCTTGTGGTGTTAGAGGGAGTTTGTAGTTGAGGTTTGGCACCGATTTGCCATCGCATGACAATTCCAACAGACCCAGTAATACTTTGCTAACATCCAAATACGGTTCCCAGACTGTGAAACCACGTCCCAGCAAATCGATTGCAGCCCGCCTTAGAGGGGTGTACTGAGGCAACTTAGGTGTGGGTGGGGCATACAAGAGATGGGCCAATGCCATTGATGTGAGACGTGCCAAATTATTGGCTATACCAAAACCTTCAACCACCGACGATTTTCTCCTCTCGCCGCTGATGGTAGTAATACTGGTGCCACGAACAGGTGAATCCTGATTTATGTCCTGACCAAACTCAGCTCCAATCACACCCAATAATATCACAGCAGTGGTCTGTTTACGCTTTAGCTCCGATAAACTGGACGGCTTGCGTATTATCTCCTCCTCCTCTTCTTCGTAGTCTTCACCGCCATCTAGCCCATCACCATTGTGACCCATGCCACCAGCATTGCCCAGAGATGAATTGGAATGACCGTTGGCTCCGTTGGCGGCATGATGAACTTGTTGGGCGATGGGTTCTGTGTGCGTATACATTGGCAGATATTGAGCCCAGCTCTCTACCAGCTGCTTACGCCCACGTTTGCCCATGCGCCTCAACTCGCCGAGTAAAATCTGTTGAGCTGCCTCTCGTATTTCAATGCAGTGGTGCTGCCAACGTTTCGCCATCATTTCCACCTGGGGCCGTTTGAATTTCTTTGGTTCTAAAGCTTCAATTTTATCCGGCAACAAAAAGCAATGATGTGTGGACAACAGACTCCAGCCCTGTTTGATTTGTGAAATGTGATGGGCCAGCAGTTCTTCACGTTCCTCTTCCGTGGCCATTTGCGACTCGGAACGTTGGGCCAGGCGCAATAGTTTTTTACTGCGCTCGCTGTCGGGCAGAAAGGAGGCCGAATTCATGGATAACAAAGTATTGGACATGGCCACCAAGGCCAAAATGTGATTAGAGGTAAGGGTGGTGCTCAATTCCCAGTGCAGACGGGAGGTGAATACGGCTGTAAGCTGTTCTTGACGCAGCAATTCGGCTGGAATGTCACGCTTTTTAGAGCTGCTTGCAACCACAATTCCCTCGCCTAGTTCGAAGTTGTTCTGCCAAGTGGGCAGTAGTAGGGACATGTAGCCTCCCTTGGAGAGAATACCAAAGGAGACGGGTACCATGGGTCGCAATAGACCCAATTGTGACTCACAAACTTTATCCAAATGGGTATCCAAGCCCCAAGAGTGCAGCAGGGACAGTAGCAGTTGAGCTACTTCCATGACGTGTGTAACTTCCATTTTTGAGGCCATTTTGGATTTCAAATCGGTCGAACCATCTTCGGGTATGTCCTGGGGTTCGAGCACCTTCTGTATGCTTTCCTGGACTTTGGCTTGAACCTTCTTCTCTACAATTTCTGTTTTTTCTTTGAATTTCTGGACCAAACCATGTTTGTCTTTGTCCTTCAGCATTTTCTCCATATCGCCTGCTTTGTTCTTTACCTTGCCAAAGAAATCGCTAATCTTTTTGGAGGCCTCCACATGCAGGGCCTTGTCTTTGGGATTGTTAATTATTACGCCCAAAGTCTCTAGTTCGGCTGGGGTCATTTTGGCATACTCCTCGCTGTGCAGCTCGAAAATCAAGCCCTCTATGTCGAAGAATAAAATGTGACTTTCTGCATCCTTGGGATTGGTACGCAGACCCTGGATTATCAGCGGGTTGCTGCGGTGTTTCATGAGGAAATCAAAGTTACCCTGATTGTGACCGTGTAGCTGCTGCCATTGCGTTATACCGCGTTGCGTTGCATGCCTAATGGCGTTCATATTGCGTGACTTGAGACCCCGGAAAAAGTGTACAGCCGGATTGGCCAAACCCTCTGTATTGGAGGCGTGTGAATTGCAGCCCGATTCATCGGCATTTTGCTCGTCACAAACCGCCAATACCTCCTCGGCTAACATGCCGTGCAAAACGCGATCCAGGTGGCCAGTTTCCATTTGCCAAACATATACCGAACCATCTGAGCAGCCAACAATGAGGAAATCGTCCAATGGTCGCCATTTGATGGTTACCACTGGAAACAAATGGCGACTGGCTAGTGTAATGCATTTGCGTTCCTGCAAGCTGAGCAAGGTGACCGAATGGTCGGAGGCCACCGAGCAAATGCATTTCAATATACGTGGACTACACGTTTCAGGGGGCACCAATAGCTGCGTAATTTCTCCCGCGTGTACACAAAAGCGATGCAATAGACTGCCACTGTAAAGATCCCAAAGGCAAACGGCGAAATCCACACCTCCTGAGAGCAACAGAGACTTCTCGTAGCGCGGATGCACCAGGGAGGGGCACAACAGACAATTGACCCGACCTCGGTGGCCATACAATATCTGATGTGAGGGCCATTCGCTGAAGTTCTGTTTGATGCCCACTAATAGCTGCATCATTACTGTCTGGGTGGCCGGAACAATGACAATCGAACCATCCTCCCGGCCAATGACCAGACGACTTTGTTGGGGCAAATAAATGCTGGATGTTAATTTCACTGGATGATCGGTGATACGGGCCAATTGATCCAAAATACCAACTGGCGGTGGATCCATCAGGGACCAGGCCTCTATGAGAGATGTACAAACCGACGGTTTCAATGTACGAGGAGGCATTTGTTTTGCTTGTAAAATACTTATATTATCCAGAGGAACATCGGGCACGGTCCACACCGAAATGAACCCCTCCGAATCACCACGCAGCAGGCAATGTGAAACTGGTTTTCCTTCGGGTTCACTGCGTATCAGTCTCATGGCTGGTGGACACGATAACACCTTGTCGCCAGGATGCTGCAACACATAGTACAAATATGGGGCATCTCGAACCACACTCTTCGAATGGAACTCCTTATTGTCAGGTATACAATTTGCAGGTAATTTATACAAGTAACCTTTGCCCTCATCGGTCCAAAGCATTACACGATCCGAACTAATAAAATCACCGCCCTGCCATCGTTCTCGTGTAGGTGCAATGACCGAGCAAAGTACTGTAAAATCACCGGCATCATAGATCTGCCAATATTTGGTGCAAACAATCAGCACCGTTCGTTGATTCTGTGAACAACAGTTCATGGTGATGGCATTGAGGCAGCGGATCTCCTTCGATTCATTCTCATAGATGGGTTCGGCATGTTTGTTCTCATTGCCCACCAGTGTCCAGACCTTTACAGTTCCGGTCGTTGTAATGGCCAGCACCACATCGTCTTTACGCCGCATTGGTCTCAAAACATGCAATGCCGATATCCAATCGGGCTTAACTTTCGAACTCAGCGTATATATCACTTCCAGGCTAATGGGATCCATTACCATTATTTCGGGATAATAACCAATACAGAAGAGATGCAAATCAGCACTGTTCGCCGTATGATAACTTTGGATTTGTGTATGAACCTGAGGTAATTTCACCGATTCCATGCACTTGCCATCGGTCATATCCCATGTGCACATTTCGCCATTTTCCGAGGAGCTTACCAAAAAGTTGCTGTCTGTCATAATGGATGCCCGTACCAGGCATAGAACCGGTGCCGTGTGACCCACTAGGAGGCAGCGCGGTGACATTTTCAGGGTACCCGGTTCGACGTGCCACAAACAGATTTGTCCATCGTAGCAGCCAGTTGCCAATGTGGTTTGATCATCAGACAAATAAACACTGGACACACAATGAGTGGGGGCCGATGGCCCCCACAGCACAACAGGCACCACTAGATTGGTGCTAACCATATTTCAATTGCCTTCTAAGGGCTTAATCTGCAGGTGGATCGAAATGGTAGTAGAGATGAGAAAAGTAAATCAGCCGTTGCCAATGTAAATTAGGTCGTGGTGGTGGGGTAGGATGCGATGTTTTCAACAGCAAATGGTATTTTTTCATTTCGAAACGTGACAACAACGACGTCACCACACAAAACGTTAGCATAGCGTCCATATCAAAAGAAAAGAAACAAATAACGAAATATTCCATAAGATAAAATACTCAAAGTTCTCAGTCATCACTTACACGCACGCAGCACCCATACAAATCAAACGAAGAAGAAGAAGATTACGACGACAAGGCACAAGACCTTATAAAAGGGTTTTGTAACCAAAAAAAAAAATGAATGAAATGAAAAAAGTGTGTGTTGTTCTTTTTTATGCTGCCAACTAATGTTTGATTTTTATGCAACCTCAATAAACTTTTGATAATGGAACATAACCAAAGCCTTACTAATGTGATCGTATTTTGGCCATTTTCGGATCACAACCCGACCACAATAATAAAAAAATAATCGTAATGTGTTTGTTAGTAGTGTGATACGGTCAAGATTAATGGAATATGTCAATAAAAACGACGAAGCGTTTGATACGTTTTGTAAACATGAAATTCATTGAATTCACTTCGTACAGCAACAAACATTTGCTGATCCAATTACGTATTCAGCGGAGCTGATTCCGGGCAAATTTAAATTAAACGAAAGTTATGTGTGCTAGGGTAATCGGTGTTTCTGAATGGAATATTTATATATTTTCTTAAGTTCTTATTTCTAACATCAACGAAGATTATCCAAATTAATGTGCAACATTTCATTTTCAAATTCTTTGAGATGGAGAAAAAAACCTAATTCCAAATATGTGGAAGACAACAGAGAACATATCCTCTTTTACAAAGTACAAGTAAAAAGTATGAGCCATAGCATGACTTGATTGCTTCTAAGCCAAATTCGGACGTAAAGTCTAAAATCACTCCTTTTTGAGCTGATATTTTAGATTTGGTAAAATCACGCGAGAAAATATAAGGGAGCTATATTTACATTTGGGTCGATTATCACAAATTTCAACTGGGTTCGACCTTGGGCCAAAGAAATTAGATGTGGACATTTTCATATCAATCTCCCAATAAATGCAACCTCACCGTGCCTACAACTTGCTTACATGGAGCAATTAAAAAAAGCAGTAAGTTCGGCCGGGCCGAAATTTGAATACCTTCCACCATTTAGAACGAATTTGGAAATTTTCGAAAGAGATAACATTCGCCAAAAAATCTGCTAATATCTTAAAAATACCGAATATAGCCATTATATTAGGGTCTGTACGATGTGCACCTACATGGGCATTGTTTGTCACAAGCCATTACCATATTCAAATTCTAAACTTGAAATAAACGGTGAATAATATAGCTAAAATCATTAAAATACCGTACATAGGGAGGTACCATTATATCGGAGCTATATGAAGACCTGGACCTGCATAGACAATTTTCTGTCAAAGGCTGTAGCTTCCATTTCGAGCTTCAAATGCCAAACAATTGAAGCAATTCCGAATTGTTTACGAACCAGCATTGCACTCAGCATGCCCCACACAAGAATGGTTACAAAATAAGATTCCTCGCTTCATTTCCAGCGCACAATGGCCACCAAAATCTCTGGATACCAATCCGTTGGACTATTGTGTCTGGAGTATTTTGGAAAACAATGTTGGCACTAAAAAATACCAAAGTGTCGATCACCTCAAGCAAGCGCTTCGCCGGGAATGTGCCAAAATACCGCAGGGCAACATTCGGACAGCGTGTGACGGTTTCATTGGCCGTTTGAAGGCCATAATTCGTGCCAAAGGTGACCAATTCGAACAAATCTAAACTTATTCTAAAATTTAATGCTACATTTGTTACTTTCATTCAATAAATTATGACGTTTGACTTTGTTGCAGTTTTTTTATCTCATCCTCACGGTTAAGAATCTGCCGAAAGAATGAGTAGATAAAATAAAAATTATTATAAATCCCAATATTTTGCCCATTTCTGATTAGGAATCATCGTTCGATGCAATACCAACACTTAGGCCAACACTTAGGCGTATAAGTTTGATGTTTAATTGTAATCACGCAACAGGTCCCAATTATCGCTCGATCCTTACGACATTTTGCATGGAGGTGAGGTTAAGGCAACAATGGAAGTCTATTGTTGGGGGAGATGATCGTAAAATATTTAGGGGTTTAGTTGATTTTTGCAGTTGCTTGAAGGTCACAAATATGCGGAATTAAGAGTGTAGGGCAGATGCCTTCCATTTTGCTTGGTCATCTGAAAATATTTAGTGGGTAAAATATACCATAACTTTCATGTAAAACAATTTAAAAAGTATCACTGGGTTTTGCCAACAGATGTATAATAAGAGGGTCGATTAATTGTTGACCCTCTATGGAGTAGGTTCCGAAGGAATTCGCATCGTATATGATATAAATATTACGACGAGCCTGGTTTGGACTATATTGGTCACTTCCTTCACTTTATATTAGATATGTAATAATTTTTAGAAAATGTTTAAATGAGCGTGAGATATAGTCGACCAAAGTATTCCATTTTCATACTTCTTGTAATACAGATTAAAATATTGGTAGAGGCAAAATTACAATAAAATCGAACATTTATATCCACTTTTGTGCGAAATCATAAAATCCATATTCATCTCAGGTTTCTGGTTGAGAGAAATATTTAGATATTACAAGTTGTAAAGAATCGCTGACGTGTTTCACTACTTATGAGAGATAAAAAGTATTGAAAATTGCGACCCTTTGTGGGTGGGTACCAAAAGGGGTTGGTAGATATATATCATATTCACAACAGATCGTGTGTTAGCAAAAATATTTGGATGTGTGAAATGTGAAGAGAGTTAGATGCTTATATCGTTTTCTTCTTAAACCCTATGGGAGGAGGTACCAGAAAAAATGGTCGGATCTGTACCGTTTTTATAACTGATCTTGCGTTGATGGAAATATTGAGATGTACCCCAGTCCAAATGGATTCGGATATTAATTTGGTGTTTTGTGAGCTTCATATATATTCAAAATTTTGACCCTTTGTGGGGAAGGTAGCAGAAAGAGTGCACCGATATATCTCAATTTCACACCAGACCTTGAATTAATAAAAATATTGTATTGTGTTAAATTTGACGAGAACCGGATGCTTATTTCAGATTTTATGATCGTTTGGGTTATTCAAAATTTTAAACCTTTGTGGTGGAGGTACCAGAAGGAATGGACCGATATATTCCATCTTCACACCAAACATTGGGTTAATAAAAAAATATTGTGATGTGTGGAATTTGAAGACAATCGAACGATTATATTACATAATTATTCAAAATATTCAACTTTTGTGGGGGAGGTACTTAACGGAATGTACCGATATTGTCCATTTTCGCACCTGTCCTAGTACTGATGCAAATATTTGGATTCGCAAAGTTGGAGCAAAGTCGGATTATCCCTTCTCTTTCTGTGCAATAAATTATTTTCTTTGAAGGTGTTGACATTTTATGAGGGAAGTACCAGAAGAAGTGGGCCGATATTGCTCATCTCAGAAATCGATCTAAGTTTGGCAATAATATTACGATGTACCAAGTTTGGATCAAATCGTATACTCCCTTCGAGAGTTATTGTGCACACCAGTCAGACAGACGGACATCGCTAGATCGACTCCAAATGTCCTGAAACGGAGTTGGTCCAAAGAGACCTAGGCTCTAAAACCGTTATTTCGACTAGGCACGTTTTGATCGTATCAAATGATATAAACTCTCTCTAGCCATATGACTGAGGTTATAAAAAAGAATAAAATCGCTAATGTCCTTGACCTAAAACTTGTGATGGGTATCATCATAGGTCACTGCAATATGAGAGCAATGACTTCTAAATGGGACTGCGATGATATTGATTACTGTAGAATATGTCAAGATGAAGAAGAAATTGAGTCGGTCGGACATTTGTTTTGCCACTGACCAGCTCTTATATACATGAGACACAGGCTAGTGCGGGAACAATTATCACACGATCTATCTTCATTCTGTAATATAAAGCCTGCAGTAAGTCTTCAATTAGACAGAAGATTAAAGTGGTTAAAGGCAACACAGCAAAATTGTTAGCCGGGGTAAGAATACGCGATCCCCGGCTAAAAATTTTACTTTCTTATTCCATTTCCCCCAAACTCTCTCTTCATTTTTTTTCAAAATTAAAGTTGGACAAAATTGGCCAAATCGAATGGAGCGCAGTTGTAAATTAATATAATGTATCAAAGGCAATGTGTACAAATATCTTGCATAGAAAATCCTGCTACATTCTGCCTCTTACATTTTTTCCACATCAACATAATCTATATAAAAATAAGAGACTCAAATGTGAAAATAATATCCAAAAGTTCTGACAAATATTCTACAGACTTCTCCATATAAAAATCTAAAGAACTCATTTCTCAATCGTTGATTTTCTTTGACGATTTAAACATTCTGTTGAAGTCGAATTTTAACTTCGACTCATCTCTACTGACAACGCATTACGACTTTCCACATAAACAAGTCTCTCAAATATTTTAGACCAATTTCGAAACTATAAACATAACTGTTCTTAAAAAATGTGATCAACAGCTGTTTTTGTTATTTAATGTATGTAAACACACACACACACATTATGGAATAATTAAAGTTCTTATGCAATCATAAAACAAATATTGATTTAATATCACCCTTAGAGAGCTACCTACTGCTACAGAAGACATACAGTTTGTTTTTTATACTTAATTTTCTAAAATTAAATAAAAATTGTCGTTTGTTTATATGCCTCTCCCCCGCGCAACAAAATTAAAAATAAATTTGCTTTAAAATCTGCAAATGTCAATGAACCCACTTCTCGACCAGAAAAACAAAAAAAAAACCAAGACCCGTTTACATCAAGTAAAATAGATTTGTAAATAATGTTATTTTTAAAATGACGAAAATGCTTTGATAAACTCTTATCTTGAAAAGAATATACCACATATGTATATATGATGGCGGTCAAGTGCTTGGCAAGCTTAGCTGTTAAAGCCAAAATGAATCGTGCAAGATTAATTACAATATGTTTTTGGCCAACATTTCTAATTAACACTAACGTTTATTTTATTTGTAGCATTTTCTATTGGCTGAGAATGAAAATCCACAAACACACGCACGCCCTGAGCACACTCTGAGACACATTCACATATGAGTTATGTGAATGTAAATAATATAAGAAGAAGAACGGCAGGCAGGTAGGTACTTTTTTCAAAACAAACAATACAAAAGAAAATGCAGAGACAAGAAAAAAAATTGAATGTCGGGTGGAGACGGCCATGTGATGAGCTACCATTGACGCTCTGTTTATATTTTGTTGGCAAAAAAAAATTTATAAATTATCAGCTGCAATCACTAAACCAAGGCCAACCGCAATACAAAATTTGATTTGGCTACAAATCATTTTTTGACGATCCGGATACAAAAACCTATTCGGTAACAATCTACAACATAATCTACCGTTTTGTAATGTATGGCTATCAATTAATACAGAATTGAAATAATAATTCAGAGAAAACTTATTGAGAAAAAGCCACAATGCGTTGCAGGCAATGGAATATCTCTTGTGCTGGATGGTTCCCCAGAAACTGTAATCTTAATCAATTTTATAGGTTTACAAATATAAACAAGTAAAAAAGCAGTAAGTTCGACCGGGCCAAACTTTGGAACAAATTTGGCAAAAATAAATAAATAAATAAAATCCATTGAAAATTCTGTTAAAATCTCAAAAATACCGAATGTAGTCATTATATTAGAGTCTATACGACGACGTGGGCCTGTCAACTTTTGTCATAAGCCATTACAAAATTCAAATGCGAAACTTAAAAAATAATGTAGCTAAAATCATCAAAATAACGAACATAGGGAGATATCATTATATTTTCTGTCATAGGCTTTGGTATTCATTACGAACTTCAAATACCAAATTTGAAATAATTCCGGTGAATAATGTCGCTAAAATCATCAAAATACCGAATATCGGGAGGTGCCGTTATATGGGGGCTATACGAAGACGTGGACCTGGTAAAGACAATTTTCTGTCTTAGGTTGTAGTATCCATTTCGAACTTCAAACACCGAAATTTGAAACAATTCCGGTAAAAATAATGTCGCTTAAATCACCAAAATGCCGAAAATAGGGAGGTACCGTTATATGGGGGCTATTTTAAAACGTGGACCTACATGGCCCATTTTACGGACAGACATGGCTAAATCGACATAGAATTTTATGCTAATTTTTTGTGGGGTCTAAAATTTCGAGGTGTGACAAACGGAATAACAAACATAATATACCCTCCATAGTATGGTAAAGGGTATAAAAAATCTTAAGTGCGGGCGGAAGGAACATTTTACACTCTAATATTTGACCCATGTAGAAATAGGCTAACCTCAAAATTGCAAAAAAAAAAAAAAATTATCTTACACTTATACAGAATATTTCCTGAGAGGAGATAATTTACTCTTTGATGGAAATCGATCCGAAACATTCGAATCAGCAGGCACTGTTATATGGGGTCTACATTAAATTGTGGACCCACATTAAATATGTTTTGAGATCTACTCTGAAATACACATAAAAAGGCCCAAAACATCAAATATCAACTAATTTGGTTTGAAATTTAAGCGGAATACTTAAAAATACCAAGAATCAGAAGGTACCCTTATATAAGATGGTCTTCTAAAAAGTGGACCGACCATAAATATTTCTTGCAAATAGTTAGTCTACCCCCAACAAAAACAACCCAAAATGTCAAAATGTCGGGCCCAAACCCGAAAATCGAGACGTCTATATTGATTTTTTTTTAAATCTAATGCAAGCCACAAACGTAGCAATTGGTTGTACATCTTGGAGAAGTTGTATTCAAGATTGTATCGTTTGTGGCCCGCTTGTACGAAGTTGTGTCTCGGTTGTACAAAAAATCAAAATTTTTTGATATTTGGCATGTTGTACCAACCGCATGTCGCATACAATTTCATTTTGTGTTTATTTTCAAAGAGGCAACACCATTGTTTCGCACATCAAAACAACACGAAATCCAATCAAATGTGTGATTTCAAAGAAAATATAAAAAAATACAAATATATATGAAACAGAATTTCAAAAAATTAATAATAAATAAAGGCTATTAAGTAAATTATGGAGCACGAAATTATTTCCGGTGTCATCTTAACTCAAATGAAATTTTCGAAAAGTGAAGTTGTACAAAGAGATTGTACACAAAGTTGTATCGTTTGTGGCCGAAGCATAGAATTTGACAACCCTCCAGGTTGTACCAACGGTTGTATCGTGTGTGGCTTGCATAAGAACTGAAAACCTGAAATGTCAAGTTACAGGTGATTTACTTGGAAATTCGGACCGAAGCCGAAAAATCTTAGGCTAATTCCTGATTTCAACATCGACATCAAATTCCACGCCGATCGTGAATGTATATTCTTTATGGCGTATTCGGGGTTTCTTAATTTGGCAAAAGGAATAGCAAATTTAACATACCCTGTATTTTATGGCGGAGCTCATAAAACTAAGAATATTTTCCATAAAAAATGAAAAACAAAACATGATTTTTAAAACTTTTTTTTGAAATCTTGAGCTGAACTCCGAACAATTTTTGGAGACGTCGCAGACAGAACGACATCGTTTTTAGAAAGAGGGGGCTAGACGTTATATGACTTGAAAAGTAAACAAGTTAAAAAGCAGGAAAAGCAGTGAATGCCCTCCACAATTTGGAACGAATTTGTAAATTTTCAAAAAATAAAATTCGTTAAAAATTCCTTTAAAATCTTAAAAATGCCGAATATAGCCGTTATATTGGGATCTATACGACGTGGACCTACATAGGCATTGTTTGTCATAAGCCATTACTGCATAGACAATTTTCTTTTACAGGCTGTAGCATCCATTACGAATTTCAAATACGACATCTCAAACAATTTCGATGAGTATTGTACCTAAAATCGTCGAAATACCGAATATAGGGAGGTACTAATATATATGGGACCTATACGAAACATCGAAACATACGGACATCGAAATACCGAATATTGAGAGGTACCGTTACATGGGAACTATACGAAGACTTGTATCTGCATAGACAATTTTCTGTCTTAGGCTGTAGTATCAATTTCGAACTCGAAATATCAAATTTAAAACAATTCCGGTGAATAATGTCGCTGATATCATCAAATACAGAATATCAGGAAGTACCGTTATATGGGAGCAATACGAAAACGTGGACCAACATGGCTCATTTACGAACTTAACATGCCTACTGGTAAACTATGCAAGTATGCAAAATTTCAGCCTTCTATCTCAATTCATTCGAAAGCGTGATTATAACAGACACACAGACGGGCATCGCTAGATCGTCTTTTACGCTGATCCAGGAGATATATACTTTGTAGGGTCTATTATGAATATTTCGAGGAGTTACAAACGGAATGACAAAGCTGATATAACCTCCATAGAATGGTGGAGGGTATAAAAAGTCTGGTGACTGAAGATGGGAAAAAATGCACTCTACCCAAACCAAGAACAAAATTCAAAATGTGTGTCAAATCGGAAAAGTCCACAAGTTGTATGCCTGTTGTGGGGTACTATATCAGTATAGTCCAACTTTATACATTTTTCTGCTGTTCTCTTCAATGCAAAGTACGACCTTGGTCAGATACTACAGCCGGATTAAACAACTTTCGAATGGGAACAATCGATCTAATTTGTTGTATGTTCTTCTTGATGTGGGATATCGTCATCTGCATAGCCGACAAACTTAAGCCCTAAAACTTTTTAGGATAGAAATTTTAAGGGTTACTTAGTTAGTTTTCTATATTTGATACTCTTGTAAGTTAATCGCCGGCTACGCGAAATAAAGCATTTTTATTGAAAAAATAATTTTAATAAACTTTTTCGTATCGAGTTATGCTGGTGGAAGGACCCATATTTCTGGACCCAGAAAATGTATTAGCACAAATTGTAGCATGGAAGGGTAAGAGGGTCAGCTATAATTTTGTTGATCTCCTTAATGGAACCTTTTTGGGGGTTTTATAAATAATCCGGATCAAAAAATCGATAATTTCGAACCGTTTTAAATAACCCCATCATGTGACACCTATATTGTCTATATCGGGAAAGTAGATCCGGGTCTAGCCAGTTAGCTATGGAAAGTACGGTAACATACCATCAACAATGGTCAATTGTCGAATTTTTCAGTGTCCCAAAATACTCTATAGTCATAGATCCTTACATATATATAGGACTGCCAAAAATTTACTTCCAGATGTCCTGAATCTCCACAACTTTAACAAACGCGTTCCAAACATTTCGACCAACACATGACGAGTTATGTAGGGTATACCTGACAGAAACATCAAACAAACTAAGCAGCGGCATATGACTACAAATGAATACCTGTGGCGTAATAATAATAATAATAATAAAAAAGAACAACACGGGGCGCGCGGTGAGACGGGGGACGTAAAAATATACACAAGTTAAAAACGAAAAAAATAATTTGTTTTTAATTTTTGTTTTGTTCTTCTTCTTCTACTTCCAGATGTCCTGAATCTCCACAACTTTAACAAACGCGTTCCAAACATTTCGACCAACACATGACGAGTTATGTAGGGTATACCTGACAGAAACATCAAACAAACTAAGCAGCGGCATATGACTACAAATGAATACCTGTGGCGTAATAATAATAATAATAATAAAAAAGAACAACACGGGGCGCGCGGTGAGACGGGGGACGTAAAAATATACACAAGTTAAAAACGAAAAAAATAATTTGTTTTTAATTTTTGTTTTGTTCTTCTTCCTCGTTTTAATTTGTGGTGACAATGCGAGCCAAGCTGCTGCAGGCAGGCAGACAGAAGAATGAAACAAAAAACTTACACTTGTTTCTCCACCTTCTCCTCCCCCTCTTGCTGTTTTCTTCTTGTTCGGTGTGTGTTGTGTGTTTTGTTAATAGTTTTATTTTTCACAAAAGAAATTGACAACTGTTTCACAGTAACACTTTTTCTACAATTTTATATGGCCCAAGACCAACGTCCGCACCGTCCGATATTATTATGATGTGTTATGGGATGGTGGACACACTTTTCTCTTTTTGCACTTTTGACCACACAATATGGGTTTTTTGTTGGTAGGTCTCCCTTCTCGTCGGCTGCTTAGAATTTCGATTTAATCCAATGACACTACTGAATGCAGATATATGTCATAACAAAAGTGACTACTCCAAAAAATTACAGCAGCAGTCATGAACTCAACTAATGGAGACAGACAAGCAGACGACAACGGTGGTGGTGGTGATGGTGGTGACAACGACGACGACGACGGCAACAGCAACGGACAGCAGCAAATCAGCAGTTATGGAACTTCAATGTCGTGCACTTCCACACACAATGAAAATTCAGAAAAAAATTAAGACGTAGACGACGTCGTTTTATATGTTTTCTTGCGAATTATATTCGTTGATTTTCTTATAATTTGAACATTTTTCTTGTGTCTGGGAACGACAAACGCGAATTTTCTTGCAATTTGCTCGATTTTTGCACAAATTTTAATAATATTTGATGTCTTTTAACTCGCAGAAAAACGAAAATATCGACCGAGCTATAAAAAAATATCGATTGACTCGCGTCTGTCATAATTGTCAAATTGGATTGGAACGTAACTACACTACAGCCCACTACCTAATGTCACAAATGTCAAAGTGGTTAATAACAAAAACACAGGAACAAAAGAAACCAAATTCGCCACAAACACCAAAGCATAAAACAAATCTACAGATACCAGAGATATACAAAAAGACTTATACAAATTCTTTAAAATCACGAAATTTGCAAAGTTATTAACAAAATACGCTTAACATTTTTACGTACTCTCTTAAGCAACCCTGTTTCGTGCCCTATGTAGAGAAACGTTGGTAGGCTTCTGTCAAAAAGACGTAACGTAATTGAGAGACATTTGCTATGAATGGAATCTTTAAAAAAATGCTTTTGAAATCAATGCTTCTATTACATATGTTGACCACATCTTTAGGACAATATTTGCGTTATATACACAAAACAACTGCTTTCAGACATAACACTTATTCTGTAAACATTGTCTCCACAACATTTCTCCGTGGAGTCAACTCACGGTTAGAAGCCAGCATCTCATGCGAAGCACTACGGAATATATGGTTTCCACATTTTACAACTTTTCAAAAAATATTTGTAAAGAAAACTATTTAAGGTTTCATCACACAACTACGTACAAATGTTTTATAGCTCTTCCCATCATGTATTTTTTGTAGAATTCCTCCGTGATTCCAAACCGTGGAAACTGCAACTGGCCAGCATTCCCATTCATGCAGCAAACGGCTCAAGGATCGCACAAATTCGTTTAATAAACACATATTTTCGTTCACTTACCTTAATATTATTCCTTTGTGTGGTATTATTGATGATAATTTCAAATAATTTATGTTTAATTGTTGTTTTTACACAATTAATGAAGTTTTAAACAAAAAGCGACATTTGTTTTCTCAAGTGAGTATGTTCAGTGTAGGAGAGTTTTAAGAGAATTGTCATTCGTCTTCACAGAGTTGTATTAATGCGTACTAACAAAGAGCGACATACGTGTTTTCTCGAGTGAGTATGTTCAGTGTAGGAGAGTTTTAATAGAATTGTCATTCGTCTTCAATTCAATATTTTTCAGGAAAAAAAATACAATTTTGAAAAAATAGATATGCCGATTCAATGAATATTTTAAGTCAAAGCTCATTTCAATTGTTACTACTTTATTAGTAACATATGACATATCTAACAGATGCCAAATAAATACATTGATCCCTGAATTGCAGGATTGCATGGTGAAAAAATGGACAGATAAGGCCTAATAGAATAAAATGTTGACAGTTGTGTTCAGAGACTTTGCGAAGAACTTAAGATTGTATAATTAAAAGGTATTCTAGAGCTGATTATCAAAGATGGGAACCCCGATGATTACAATTTGTTTCTAAGTGTTCCAGGTATTTCATTCATCTTTCGCGCTATTTGACTCATTTTAAAAATGAACAAAAAATATCAAATAAATGAAAACATCTTGTCGGATATAATTTTGAATAATTCTGACAGGAAGCGGGCATAGCCTCAGGGCTGTATTTCTGTTATTTTACGAAGCTATTCTAAATCCTTATTGTACCATGGATTAATTTACATTGAAATTTGACAAGGTAAATTACAAAAAAGGCAGAGATGGGTACACTTATTTGAAATGACCCACTTAATTTTACCATGGGAGCATCATAGAATTAAACAAATAAAAAAAGACCGTTTTGCTGTTAAACTTTTCAAAAAACCATAAAGTGTGTGAGGTCGTTGTATGTGGCCATACCAAAACGGGAATCTCCATAGACAATTTTATACTTCAAGTATTATCATCAACCAAATCTTCTTAAAAACAAAATTTGAAACAATTTTATGGGTAAATGTGACTAGGATTATCAAAATGCCGGATATCGGGATTTACCGCTATATGAGATACCATTACGAACTACAAATCACAATTTCTAGACAAATCCGTGGAAAATGTGGCATAAATCATCAAAATACGGAATATCTGGAGGTATCATTATGTAGGGGCCATACAAAAACCTGAACCTATACACACAATGTTTTTCCACAGGAGCTGGAATCTATTATAACCCCCAAGTACCAATTTATAGATATATCCGTGGAAAAATGTGGCAAAAATCGTGACAATACCGGAGGTACCGTTATATGAGGGCCATACAAAACGTGAACCTATACATACAGTGTTTTGCCACCGGAGTTATAACCTCCTATGATCTACAAATACCAATTTTTAGGCAAATCCGTGAAAAAATGTGGCCAAAATTATCAAAATACCGAAGGTATCGTTATATGGTGGCTATATCAAAACGTGGACCGATATACCTGATTTTCATTACAAACCATCCTAGACATAATACAAATCGTTGCTCAAATAACGTGGGATCTATGGTGATTTCAACAGACAGATGGACATTTTATACTGATTATATATACTTTATGGGGTCTACGATAAATATTTAGGAATGTTACAAGCGGAATGGAAAGTTAATAGTCCTTCCGTTTCAAAGTGGAGGGTATAAAAAGGAACACCATTTACGATTTAGTAATAGATACTAAAAGCCCTATAAGAACTATAAGACTTGGGAGCATTGATATGTCAAAAATTTTATTTTTTTTTTCAAAAGAAAAAATATACGACACAAACCGGAGGTTATTATGAAAAAATATTTCATTCAAAATTTTCAATTTCAAAGTAGTTTTGACAGTTCAGCAGGTGCGTCGATGCACCTGTATTCAATTGAACCATGGTTCTTACTCGTTTTGGCAAGTTCTTATGGAAGTAGAGTTGAAATTAATTTCAAATTGTCATTATCGATTTAAAGACTACGTCCTTAATTCCACTATGAATTTACCGAACACCCCTAATTTGGACATGTCGGTATTAAAATGATCACTGAACGTACCACATATATGTTTTGAGTTGTTGTTGGTAGTGTTAGTACCCAGCGAACCAAATGACGGATGTTCGGCTCATCTGGTCCAAGTCTAAAGTTTTTCCGACGCATCTGACCGAGTATGTCAGAATTCTGTTTATTTATGTTTTTATTTGTGCTTACAATTATGAAGTTATTCGACTTTTTAGTTGAACTTTATTCTCAACAAATGTTTTCCATTACATTATGACACAGAGCGTTATTCGACAAAGACTTTAGTATTTCTTAAGAACTTTCTTTAAGCCGAAAACTGTTAAAAGTCTTGTTCGACAACTCTAATTTTCCTTCAGAATGTCCCAATAATATCCATGCAAGTTCGGGCAGACTTTATTTCCAATGAAGATAAACATGCCAATCACTCCATATTACTTTCGGTCCGATCTCGGACAATATAGTTCGCTGGGTTGTGACTGCAACTGACGTTTTCAAGGCTAAAACAACTAGTTCCGCGCTCTCTTTAGTGAAGATGTTCAATTTTCCTCACGTCTCATTCGTAAACAACAGAGTACCCAAGTCTTTGCTTTCTGTTTATTTTTTATCGCGTATTCCTTTGTGGCCTTCATATTCGTTTCGTCGGTTCGTTTTTCATTTTTGTTTCCACGCTCGCAACGAACAATCAACCAACACCAAGGGAATTGGACACATTTGTTTGTTGGACGGGATTATTTAAAAAATATTATGATTTATTTATCAATAAAATAATACAACAAATTCTATTAGAATCAAACGATAATTCAAAAATCAAGAAAAACAAATGCCAGGTTCGTGGGGAAATCAACGACGTGAAACTGGCAAATCAAAATGTGGTTAATTAGCAACAGAATTAGAATTCCATTACTAACTTGTGCATGGCGAACTTTTATTCTTATTACAATACTGAATGTTAGCAGCTTTAGCAAATCCAATTATGTACGCGCCTTGAAACACTATACCAAAGAACGAAAATTAGAGTTACGGTAAGTGGGTTAGTTTGGAAGCCCTCTTCTGAAATCGCTAATTCATGTCTGTCTTTTGTAGTGAACAAGTACGTGGCATGTTTCAACATGCCTATGAAGGATATTTGAAATATGCCTCAGATTATGATGAACTGAGACCGCTGACGTGTGATGGAGTAGATACATGGGGTAGTTATTCCCTGACCATGATTGATTCCCTGGATACACTGGCCACAATGGGGAATTTCACTGAGTTCCGAAGAGTAGCAAAGCTATTGGAGGAAAAAATGGACTTTGACAGAGATATAAATGTGTCGGTTTTTGAAACCAATATACGTATTGTGGGAGGTCTACTATCTGCCCATTTATTGTCCAAAAAGGCTGGAGTAGAGTTGGAGAAGGGATGGCCATGTCAGGTATGCAAAATGATTTGATTCGTAAATTTGAAATAATAAAATTCTTTTTTAGGGTCCGCTGTTGCGTATGGCCGAAGATGTGGCCAAACGTTTGCTGCCGGCTTTTGACACGGCCACCGGCATGCCTTATGGTACGGTGAATTTACGTTATGGTGTTCCCAAGGGAGAAACCTCCATAACATGCACAGCTGGGGTTGGCACTTTGCTGGTGGAATTCGGTACCTTATCACGTTTGACGGGAAATACTATCTACGAAGAAGTGGCCTTGAATGATTTACACTCGCTGTGGAAGAGGAGGTCCAATATTGGCTTATTTGGTAATCATATAGATGTACAAAGTGGTCGTTGGACAGCTTTAGATTCTGGAATCGGTGCTGGCGTCGATTCCCTTTTCGAGTATATGGTCAAGGGAGCAATATTATTACAGAGGCCGGAATTGTTGGACATGTTCCATACAGCCCGCCAGCAAATAGATAAATATTTACGCCATGAAGACTGGTATGTGTGGGCTAATATGAATAAGGGCCAGGTTACATTGCCGGTTTTCCAATCTTTGGAATCCTTTTGGCCTGGCATCTTGAGTATGATCGGCGATAGATCGCCGGCCATTAAGACAATGGCAAATTATGCCAGTGTTTGGAGAAAATATGGTTTCTTGCCCGAATTTTATACCATAACAACTGGTGAAGCTGCAGCTAATCGAGAGAGCTATCCCCTGCGCCCTGAAC